CTGCATTATTTAAATTTGTTTATGTATGCATCATATTTATATTGCAATGCTTTTCATTCCCTATAGAATTTACTAGATATAAATATTTTTCTTCTTTTTAAATTCTCCAAACAGGGAGAGTTGAGTCTTTAGTGGCAGAATGGTGATATTTCCATATCTTTTTTAGGTGACAACAGCCGGCATTAAAAAAGACTGCTTTAGCAAGGTGAGAAGAGAACATTCAGTGGAATGGGGAAACACAATAATGTGTTCTTTAATCCTTTCCATTTTTATGGTCCCCTCTCTCTTAACTAATTTCTCTCTCTTCCATTTCTCTCATCTCTCTGTCAGCTCTAACTGCCACAGTTTTGCTCTGTGCTACAGAATATCACAAAAAAGTAAGTCTGTTGTGAATGCAGAGGTGAGCAGGTGAGTGGAGTTTGGTAGCAGAATACACACTCTATTGAGAATTTTCTTTGCCGAAGTCTAGCCCTGCACACAGGAACAGATGGGGGCAAAGTCTAGCCCTGCATACAGGAACAGATGGGGGCTCTTTAGCATGTTTCCAAAGCTTAGTTCTGAGAACCACCTACAAGGTCTGACAAGGCTTTGAAGCATACTGAACAGACACAAACTAGTTTTCTTTACCATTCACAAGGAGGAGTGCATAGCAGCCTCTGAGTCAGCCAGCCAGGGTCCTGACTGCCATACCCAAGTGTAGAACCCTGGGCAAACCATTTACTCGCTTAGTTTCCTTTTCCTCATGTGTAAAACTAAGAAGATAATAGTATCCAGCTCAGAATTGTTAAGAGAAAACATGANTATAAGTAATTAATAATAATAATATAAATTAATATATAAATACAAATTATAGTATATAATATGTAATATATAACATGATAATATGATAATATGATAATATATATTATATTATATTATATATATAATATATATAATATAGTATATGTGATATACTATATTATATAAATTAATTATAATTATAATTTTTCTAGTTAATTAATTATATTATATAATTACATAATGTATATAATTATAGTACATGTAAATTATATAATTAATCGATTAATTATATAAATTGAGTATATAATATAAATTATATGATATAAGTTATATTATATAATATAAATTAAAATATAAATATTTATTAATTATGTAAATAATTATTAATTGTACAATTATATAATGTTTTATAATATTATAATGTTTTTAAACTACAGAGAGCAACACAGTGAGTCATAATCAATTTAGTGGGTAGTAATCAGCCATAAAAAAGAAATTAATAATACTTTCTTAAAAACAGAGTACATTGCACATATAAAGCTAATGTAAAATGTATTGCTCTCTGTGGCCTATGGTCAAATGAGTTTGAGAAACAATGTGTCTAAGTTACACAAGTGTGACAAACTGAAAAACTTCCGTAACTGTCCTCTCAGGTTCACTCATTTATGCCCCTTTCAAGTAAAGTGAGCAGAAGCAAAAGAGTTTTGGAAACATGCTGAAATGATGGATTTTCTTGAAAATGCATGAGTGCTGGGCTGCTGTGAGAAGTCAGGGGCAATGGTTCGAGACATCCTTCCTTCAGAAAATGCCCTTGTACTACTTTGGTAGATTTGAGGCAGGGGATAAGAGTTTGTTAGAACTAGCAAGGCCTAGGGGCTTGAATTTTGTTTTCGTTTGAAACTTCGTATTTATTCAAGTACTAAGAAGTGTGACTGAAAGTCATTAAAGTTCCTTTAGTTCAAAAATTCTGTCTCTTGAAATCCTATTTTTAGTAGGTAATATTTGAAGAGAAAACTTCCTAAAGTTTAATCTTACTAGGTGAGTAAAGTGTAATAGTTTTGAATTCTCATTTTTCTAAAAGATTCATATGGTACTTTAATGATTATGGTTTTTTAAGTCTCCATTTCTACCGCCTATCTGTATTTTTTGCTCTGAAAAGGTTATAGTAGCACAACACTATAAAAATCAAATACATTAATAATTAAAAATACATGGGAGAAAAACAGGTTTGTAACTAGAATTTGAAAACTTCAACTGACATTTTTAGGAAACTTACGCCCAAGAAACTGAGTGATTATTAACCTGTAGAATCTACATATTTTTATGCATACTATTTAATAAATATAGAGAAAGCAATTATAAATAACTGTTATCATGTAATAGTGTATATTGCTTATGGTTTAGTTTATTTGGTTATTTAATATTCCCTGCTGTAATATTATGAACCATTCATATGAGTGCTTTTAGTTTAAACAGAACTAAGTTTATCCTCTCAGAGAGGAAGATTATTTAGAGAATATGACCGAACATGTACAACACTGCAGTTCTTCTGTTCGTATCATGATTTCAATTAAAATACATCCGTAGTGCTAATTATAGAAACTAGGTATTCCAGAGAAAGCACTGTTGAAATCAAAATCATGTGCATTACCTAGTATACAAGAGATCACAGTTTTAATCACATTGGCTAATATGTATCTCAAGTATCTGTAAAGAAAAGTAGAAAAAAATTAAAAATTAAAAATGCATGTGTATCTGTGTGTGTGTGTGTGTGTGTGTGTGTGTGTTTATATATAAATCCATACTTGCAAAATATTTTCTATAAATATAAAGATCTGGTTTTCTATGAAACAGTAAAATTGACTTTTTTCCTCCTGGGCATGTTACCTGCAGGTTTGGTGGTTACAACTAGGGGCCTAGAGACTTGGGGTAATTTTGGGACATGGAGGTAGTGTGGACTAACCTGGAAGATGGATCATGGAGAGGTTCTTAATTAGTACATGATCATATCCTTAGGTTCTTTCTTTAAGAGTCATAGAAAAATCTCTCTTGACTATTTGCTCATTTAAAAACTCTGGAAAAATTATTTTAATTCCCAATATCAATTTTCTTATCCCTATATTAAACAATAATTTCAGAAAATGTGTTTTCTATCTCATCACTGTAGGTTGATCAAGAGACATGTTAAAGACCAATTGGAGAAAAAACTAAATTAAAGGGTAAATATACTTTACATAGGTTGGAACAGTCATGTATAGTAGGGTGTTCAGTTAATGACCCATGAATGAATCCTATCTTGAATATCCACATTCTTGTGTAATGTCCTCCCACAGTGATGCTGAGGTTGTCCATGTGACTTGATGTGTCTAATGGAATATGCACAAATATGACAGTAGTAGACACTTGATAAATACCTGCACATTGGGGCTTAGCCACTAAGAAATTTGGTGCTGTCCAAGAGTTTCAGGCTACACTGCTGAAGAGGTCACATGGAAGAGACCCATGCCATCTCAGTCAACGGTTTTTGCTGAACACCATTTTGGACCAACCAGCCTCAGTAGAGCCACCAGGTGACCATAGCTATATGAATGACCTCATACAAGACCGTTGCATCCAGCTGAGCCAAGCCCAATATACAGAATTGTGAGCAAATAAATGGTTATTGTTTTAAGCCATTAAATTTGGGGGTGGTTTGTTACCCNATAGAAACTAGGTATTCCAGAGAAAGCACTGTTGAAATCAAAATCATGTGCATTACCTAGTGTACAAGAGATCACAGTTTTAATCACATTGGCTAATATGTATCTCTTAAGTATCTGTAAAGAAAAGTAGAAAAAAATTAAAAATTCATGTGTATCTGTGTATGTGTGTGTGTGTGTGTGTGTGTGTTTATATATAAATCCATACTTGCAAAATATTTTCTATAAATATAAAGATCTGGTTTTCTATGAAACAGTAAAATTGACTTTTTTCCTCCTGGGCATGTTACCTGCAGGTTTGGTGGTTACAACTAGGGGCCTAGAGACTTGGGGTAATTTTGGGACATGGAGGTAGTGTGGACTAACCTGGAAGATGGATAATGGAGAGGTTCTTAATTAGTACATGATCATATCCTTAGGTTCTTTCTTTAAGAGTCATAGAAAAATCTCTCTTGACTATTCGCTCATTTAAAAACTCTGGAAAAATTATTTTAATTCCCAATATCAATTTTCTTATCCCTATATTAAACAATAATTTCAGAAAATGTGTTTTCTATCTCATCACTGTAGGTTGATCAAGAGACATGTTAAAGACCAATCGGAGAAAAAACTTAATTAAAGGGTAAATATATTTTACATAGGTTGGAACAGTCATGTATAGTAGGGTGTTCAGTTAACGACCCATGAATGAATCCTATCTTGAACATCCACATTCTTGTGTAATGTCCTCCCACAGTGATGCTGAGGTTGTCCATGTGACTTGATGTGTCTAATGGAATATGCACAAATGTGACAGTAGTAGACACTTGATAAATACCTGCACATTGGGGCTTAGCCACTAAGAAATTTGGTGCTGTCCAAGAGTTTCAGGCTATACTGCTGAAGAAGTCACGTGGAAGAGACCCATGCCATCTCAGTCAACGGTTTTTGCTGAACACCATTTTGGACCAACCAGCCTCAGTAGAGCCACCAGGTGACCATAGCTACATGAATGACCTCATACAAGACCGTTGCATCCAGCTGAGCCAAGCCCAATATACAGAATTGTGAGCAAATAAATGATTATTGTTTTAAGCCATTAAATTTGGGGGTGGTTTGTTACCCAGCAATAGATATATTCAGTTATCTGATTGGATATACCTTTTATGCTGTTGATATTGTAATCAATAAATGATAGTTATGAGTTACCTATCATATAAATTTTTAAAAAGTACCACTGTCTCATAAATGAGTAAAATAGAAAATACACAGAAAATAACCAGAAAAGAGATTTAAAAATGAAATAGCAAACACAAAATTGTCTTTATGAAGAGATTTTCTTTGCTGAATTACCTCTTTGTACTGTATAGTCAAAAATGATACATATACTTCTATATATGTGGGTACTTCAAAAAGTTCACAGAAAAATTGAAATAGAATATAATACAAATTCTTCCACAAACTTTTTAAAGACCCCTCATTTGTATATATAAATTTATATATTTACATATATAGAGAGAGAATTTCACTTGTGGAACTTACTGAAGCATGATTTTCTGTGAAGCATGTACTGGAAAATCTTGCACAAAGATTCTTCACTTTGTGTAATGGCCCTACAGGTACATTGCGCTTGAAGGACTGTTCCAAGGGTACCAATGTAAGCTGCTTTGCAGTCATCATTTCCTGAACAAGTGAGATCCTGTTTGCTTAAGGTGCTCATGCAGGTCTCATCTTCATGGCACTTTCTATTCACACGCCGCCAGCATTTTGACTGAAATGTCTTATAGCGCCTCCTAAAAAGAAATGGAATTAGCCTCTGATAATGTTATTTTACATTAACACATCTGATGCTCCTTCACCTAATGAAAGACTGATATAAAACAAAACACCTCCTAGATGCCAGCACATAGTTGAAAACTAAGTTTGTACATTCAAACATCCCAGTAGAGAGTGTGAAAGGAAAAAAAAAAAGTAGAGGAACATTGTGAATTATTGTCCTTTTGTGATGAAAGACCTTGACTAAGTTTAGAACTCCCTGGATAGATTTTCCTTCATTACTAATTTTGTTTTATGCATTATGAACTACTTGTCAGATTTATTAGCAGTTTTTTAAAGCCAGATGTGGTTTTGTGGCTAGCATTTGGCCACCATCATACACCAAGTGATTTCAAATAAGTTTCTTGACCTTTCTAGCCAGTTTTCCCACAGGATGAGAGGTTATGTACTCTTTCTCAATATTATTAAGCAGACTANTTCATTACTAATTTTGTTTTATGCATTATGAACTACTTGTCAGATTTATTAGCAGTTTTTTTAAGCCAGATGTGGTTTTTGTGGCTAGCATTTGGCCACCATCATACACCGAGTGATTTCAAATAAGGTTCTTGACCTTTCAAGCCAGTTTTCCCACAGGATGAGAGGTTATGTACTCTTTCTCAATATTATTAAGCAGACTAATTAGAATTTATGAAATGCTTTGACATTCACTGGCAGCAAGAGCTAATATAAAGCAAAACATTACAAGTTTATTTAATGACCAAGATAATCCATTGAAACTGCATCCATTCATAACTTTTCTCATTATGCATTTAATTCTTGCTGTAATAGCTTTCAATAAGTCTGGATAATGTCATTTTATTTTATGTTTTGAAACTTACAAAGTATGAAGATATTCTTCTCAATGGAACCAAGGATTAATATCTTCCAACTTAATATTTATTATGTAAAATAACTTTTTAACCCTTTATTGAATAGGGTGCCATCAAATGTGCATAGAAGTCCTCTGAGTACATGATGTTTGTTATGAACTTATTTGACCACATGGTGCTACTCTGCTAAAAAGCCAAAAGTCACCTTGTTTTCAATAATCTCATATTTAAGTCATCTTAAAGGATCAGCTTTTTAATACAATGGTGAAAATTAATTACATTTTAAAATTTATAATTAAGAAAATACTGCAAATTTCCTGAACATAGAACTCTGAGGCCAGGAGAACAAATATGTTTCTTTAATGTAATTAAGGGTTATATATAAAATGACATCTAAATATAAGTTTTGAAAGTATTGATTGTTATTTAGGAAGCTAATAGATAATAAATACATACCTAGATGCCATTTATTCCTTTTTAAATATGTGA